AAAATTGTAGCAGCTGAATCAATGCAATGAAATACACAAAATGTTGCTTGGTGCTTTAGATAATATATTCAGTACTCCAGTTTTTTAATGTAAAAGCACAGACTACCGCTGCTGCTACTAAGAATGTTATTAAATAATTGTCTAATGTTATTTAATGTTGATACACATATGTGACAGGGGGAGAGAGCACGCAAGCGAGTGTGTCTGCATTTATTACGGACAAACAAATTTAGTAAACATTTATTGCGGAGAAAACCCTTTTCCGCATTTTAAAAATGCGCCGGCTTGCACTCTTGTGAAACGCCATAGACTTTAGTGACTGAGCGACGCAAATAAGACGATTGGTGACGAAAAACCCATGAACGGCAGGCGGCAAATTTCGTTTTAAAACGTGTCCGGTTGTTTCAGCATAATACAATGATGAACTGTACATAAGATAAATAACATAAGGCTATTTAATTTGTTTAATAAAAGGACAAGATATAAACCTGTTCTATAGGAAAGGTAGCCTTAAATGACTTCTGTTGTGATCTATATATAAAATTAAATTAAATAAAATTAACTTGGGGCGCCCCCCTAATAGAATGGTAGGGTAAACACGTACGTTGTGGTATATGTAGCCACATTTCTGGCCACATAATAGCTGATTGTGTTGACAACCACGACTTCCCCTGCGTTCATTTAAACACGTACATGCTTGTGTGTGAAGGGACGGGGCGGGTAACGCGGCCGGCAGTAACGCCATTGGTTGCACTTGAAGTTATTAGTTATCTAATCCAACAGTAAACGGCTCATTGATAAGAATATTCTCAGAGTTGTGGTCTCGAAATAAAATCCCGAGTCCATGACAAGAATGAGTACAAATACGGCTGATTCAAAGACAAGATCGAGACCTTCGCAAAACTGGTTTTACAACATTTGATATTACTATAAATTTCTATCATGAAGAAATGAAGCAGTGGTGTAGTGGTAACAAGAAATTAACTCTATGTACAGCAGTAAAAACGGTGGGTAACTATTTATATCCTTAACATTAGTGATCTCAAAAAAGGTGAGTAAACGCTGTTTTGTAAATTTAAAAGGTGCGTAAATGGCGTTTATGTGCATTTACCCTCCACTACACCACTGAATGAAGAATTTTGCGTTAAGTAATCTGAATAATTGCATAAAATAATCCAGAAACTCCACAACGTCACATAATACATCAGTGTCTCTCTGACCTAATTTCAGCTAATTATCGTCAAATTCTGGCAGAATTAAAACAAGACTCTGTTGTGTCCGCCTCTAGTCCATTATTTAAACGTTTTTTTCAGTTCGCCCAGAATTCATCACGTAAACCACTCAAGGCACGCCATTGGTTCTCGTCACCTTTTTCTTTTATGGCGGTTGGCATCCAGCTTAATGGTACTTTACTGCCACCGCGGCTTTGGTGAGCTTACTCCTGCCAAATTAGGAGGTAGCCGCTGTACTTATGTGTATAATAACGTAAACCCAACTAATCGAGTATTAAATTTGTTGGCAACTATGTTAATAATCGATTTTAATCGATTAAATCGATTAGTTGTTGCAGCTCTTGTACATATGGGACCCTGGAGGGGCTCAGGACATTTAAAAAAAAAAATGTTCAATGCGCTGTACTGAGCCCTCTGAAGTCCCTTGTCTCTCGTCTCTTACGTCTTGTTCCCTGCCTGTCCTGCCTGCCTGTGCCTCCCGGTGTTCCTGTCTCCCCGTCTCGTCTCTCCACATAGGACTGACCTATCTGGCTACCAAACCCTTAGAACTTCCAACCCCGACTATTCTTTCTGCCTGCTGTCTTGATTTGGTTGTTTGGTATTACTGAATAAACCTCTTGGTCTCCTGTAATCCAGGTCCTGTTCCTTCCATGAACCCAAGTCGTGACAGTAAATACTAAATTGATATTTATTATACATATATGCATGCATGTGTTACATTTTGTTTTACAAAGTTAGGAAAGCTTTGTTTAAGTTAAGTCTGATGTTGCCTTACACATAAAAGAATGATCAGAGTCTCTTCCACACAGTGAGGCAAAACCTACAGCTTAAACACTGGTCAGTACTGGCCAATTCCCAATGCCCTGGCATCAGTATTAGTAACAGGATAGAAAAAGTGGGATTGTGCGTCCTTAATTTCAAGATATGGACATTTGTCAGGATCTGTCCCGGTCAGCCCCGTCATGTTCCTGTTTGGCCAGCAGATGTCGCTGTCCAATCCATATCACTCCAATATGCTTCTTTGTTTCCA